GTTTAGTCCTGGTTCAGTCCTGGTTTAGCCATGGTTTAGTCCTGGTTCAGTCCTGGTTTAGCCCTGGTTTAGTCCTGGTTCAGTCCTGGTTTAGTCCTGGTTTAGTCCTTGTTCAGTCCTGGGATCAGTTCTAGTTTAGTCCTGATGTAGTCATGTTTTAGTCCTGGTTCAGTCCTGGGATCATTCCTGGTTTACTCCTGATTTAGTCATGTTTTAGTCCTCGTTTAGTCTTGGTTCAGTCCTGGTTCAGTCCAGGTTCAGTCCTGGTTTAGCCCTGGTTTAGCCCTGGTTTAGTCCTGGTTTAGCCCTGGTTTAGTCCTGGTTCAGTCCTGGTTTAGCCCTGGTTTAGTCCTGGTTCAGTCCTGGTTTAGCCCTGGTTTAGTCCTGGTTCAGTCCTGGTTTAGTCCTGGTTTAGTCCTTGTTCAGTCCTGGTTTAGTCCTGGGATCAGTTCTAGTTTAGTCCTGATGTAGTCATGTTTTAGTCCTTGTTCAGTCCTGGGATCAGTCCTGGGATCAGTTCTAGTTTAGTCCTGATGTAGTCATGTTTTAGTCCTGGTTCAGTCCTGGGATCAGTCCTGGTCCAGTCCTGGTTCAGTCCTGTTTTAGACCTGGTTCAGTCCATATGTGGTACAAAAGTCCGGCATCTCGATCGATGTTTTATCTGTCTGTGAAGTGATGCCGTGTTTTTGACAGTCGAGTCGCGTCTGTGAATTCGTATTCGTACCGAAGAAAAGTGTAATCGTACATTTTCATTTCGTGATTTTAATTCTTGGCGTCGTAACTTTTCAATTTTGTATTCTGATGGATAAAATTCACACAACACATTTTACCTACGACTGGACTCATTCGAGAGTTTACGAATATTTATTTTATGCTCAACTACAGACAAATATACACAGATTTCTATCCTATGCACACAAATATTTCTGAAAACTTTCTTACTTCATAGTTTCTCCTCTAACTCTAAACTCTAGGCCTGTTTTTGATGAGGTAACAACATTTTGTGTAATATAGGACCTTTAATAATGTTAAATGTGCATAATAAACAGGTTTTTAAAATTTTTTTTCACATACAATATTAAGTGTACGGTGCCAGTATTTGTTGTGGCTTGTATCAAATATAACGCACCTGTTTCTAGGGCATCTACAAGCGTCATTTTCAAATCCTCGCAGGAAGATCTCACATTGGACTTGGTGCCATCTCTAATATGTTGTTTTTATGTTATCCATCCAATACATGTGTGAACAGAATCCACCTGGAGACCCACTGTGAATGTCGTACTGCATTCGCATGGCCCTATAAGCGCAGAGACCGGTATACTACTCAAAAATGTAAACAAAATAAAATACAGATACTTCAAAATAATATCAAGAAGAAATTTAAGGTGCAATTTGTGTAACTTTATTAGTGGAGGCTCCGTCAAATGCTTCTTTACTCCATGGAGATGTTATTGTTTTGTCAGGAGTATTTCAAACTAGGGTGTTAAATCTTTCTATCTTCATGAAGAACAAAACCAGACAAAGTTACAGGTCAGATCTGTGGAGAGGCGACCCCGCTCACAGTCAGAATACTGTCTATTTCGGACTACAAGGTGCACTTAAAATCCTTTAATTTTCTCAATAATCAACAGTGCACCTTATGTATTAATTCTGGTTGTGCTTACTGACCTCAAACCAATTTTATGTGGTGATTTTATGTGTTTTAGTACGACTTTATTAAACTACGAAGCCGCACCACTTGATGGATTGTCGGAGCATTACGGCTACTGTAGTCAGGAGCCTCGCAGTGTAAAAGTCAAAGTATAAGACCACATATATTCCAATGAGTCATGTCCTTTAGTTCGACAGAAGCTGAACCGCATCAAGGCACAAGGAGCGAACGTTTTTTTCAGCACTTATAGTTGATGCAAATGAGCCATGTGGTTTTAAGTTTTGTTTCTGTAAAACGTAAACAAATGTGCCCAAAGCTGTATTAAACACATTATTACTCAATGTATATTTGAGTCCTCCTTGCAGGAAATAAAAAAAAACAAACTTAAATGATCCACCCACATTCACATTCATGATCCACATTCACCAAGACAGGGAGACAACACCGGGCGAATTACACCACGATCTGCCGATGGATCGTGGACGTCTGGGATAAGGGATCAGTCTCAAGTGTCGTCTGTTTGTTTCTCTTAATGTGCCTAATGTATGAAAATAGATTATTATTAGATTAAATTATAATCCACTGAGCCTTATAGTTCGAAAAATACGGTACATGCCTGTTCTAGGAGTTTTTGAGCTATAAAAATACCAGTAACTGAATAAATGTAAGATAGAGCTGTTTAATGTCATAATATCCATAGAAACAAGAAAGAATGTATGAAGAATGTGAAAATGCAGCTGAAAAGTTATACACCGTGGCCTTAAGTAACTGCTTTTAAAATGGACAGATATAAAGAAGTGACCCATGTTGGTTCATAAAGACAAAAAAAAAAAAAGGAAGAAAAAGAGTCCATAAACACTAGAGTTGTTTACGGAGTAGAATAAATATATAAAATGAGTCTGGTCATCTTTTCCATGATGTATAAAAGCCAAATTAAGTCTATTGTATCTGAATCACGTACGGTTTTTAGACCTGTTTTCAAACCTGTTTTTAAACCTATTTTAGACCTGTTTTTAAACCTGTTTTTAAACCTGTTTTAGATCTGTTTTTAGACATGTTTTAGAACTGTTTTTAGACCTGTTTTAGACCTGTTTTTAAACCTGTTTTAGACCTGTTTTTAAACCTGTTTTTAAACCCGTTTTAGAACTGTTTCTAGACCCGTTTTAGAACTGTTTTTAGACCTGTTTTAGAACCGTTTTAAGACCTGTTTTAGATCTGTTTTTAGACCTGTTTTAGACCCATTTTAGAACTGTTTTTAAACCTGTTTTTAGACCTGTTTTAGAACTGTTTTTAGACCTGTTTTTAAACCTGTTTTAGACCTGTTTTTTAGACCTAGACCAGTTTTTAGACCCATTTTTAGAACTTTTTATTTACCCATTTTAGACCTGTTTTAGAACTGTTTTAGAAATGTTTTTAGATCTGTTTTTAGACCTGTTTTTAGACCTGTTTTTAGACCTGTTTTAGACCAGTTTTTAGACCCATTTTAGAACTGTTCTAGACCTGTATTTAGACCCATTTTAGACCTGTTTTAGAACTGTTTTAAGAAATGTTTTAGATCTGTTTTTAGACCTGTTTTAGACCTGTTTTTAGACCTGTTTTTGAACTGTTTTATGCTGTTTAATGTCATAATATCCATAGAAACAAGAAGGAATGTATGAAGAATGTAAAAATGCAGTGTTTTTTTTTGGCAAAAAAGTTACACACGACGGCCTTAAACTACTTTTAAATGGATAGATATAAAGAAGTGACCCATGTTGGTTTATAAAGACAGAAAAAAGTCCTTCAACACTGGAGCTGTTTACAAAGAGTAGAATAAATACATAAAATGAGTCTGGTAAAATTAAGTCTATTGTATCTGAATCACGTATAGAGCTCTGACTATACACGGAGACTTATATTACAAATGGAGGTAAGCATTTAGTTTTATTGTCATGGAAATGTAATAATGTGCAGATACAAGATACAAACATCCATTATACGTCTTTATTAATGTAGGACATGCGTGGGCGAGTCCGGTGCAGGAGTTTAGTAGTGGTGGTGTGAAATGGGTCAGGTCTCATATATGCCCCAGATAAGGAGCAGTGACCCAGAAATTGGCACAAGTGGAAAGGAGCCGGACAGTTCAACCTTAATTAACTGAGTTCAAGTGAATATTTTACTACTGATTTACTGTTTTTATAATGTCTTTTAATCCAGTTACATTTTATTCATGTAACTTGAACTATGTAATTTTTAGCCTTTTCATAACATCTTATAACCAGTGATCGACAGTGCATTTTTACTTGCAATTGTACTTCTTCCAGCCGTTTTTGGACACTGTAGTAGTTTAAAGGTCAGTGCACCTTTAAACTACTAAAGTTACTACTGTAACTTTCCTTGGAACTTCTCTTGGAAAACTACCAATACTTGAAAATAGTTGAGTTAGTGTTAACTGGTTAAGTCCTGGTTGAATCCTAGTTAAGTCTTGGTTAAATCCTAGTTAAGTACTAGTTAAGTCCTGGTTTAGTCCAAGTTAAGTCCCGGTTGAGTCCTAGTTAAATCCAAATTAAGTTCTGGTTGAGTCATGGTTAAGTCCTGGTTGAGTCTTGGTTAAGTACTAGTTAAGTCATGGTTAAGTCCTGGTTGAGTCCTGGTTGAGTCCTAGTTAAGTCACGGTTAAGTCTTGGTTAAGTCCTGGTTGAGTCTTAGTTAAGTCTTGGTTAAGTCCTGATTGAGTCCTGGTTGAGTCCCAGTTAAGTCTTGGTTAAGTCCTGGTTAAGTCTTAATTGAGTCCTAGTTAAGTCCTGGTTAAGTCCTGGTTGAGTCCTAGTTAAGTCTTGGTTAAGTCTTGGTTAAGTCCTGATTGAGACCTGGTTAAATCCTGGTTGAGTGCTGGTTGAGTTTTTCTTGAGACCTGGTTGAGTTCTGGTTGAGTCCTGATTGAGTCATGGTTTAGTCCTGGTTGAGTCCTAGTTAAGTCTTGGTTAAGTCCTGGTTGAGTCTTAATTGAGTCCTGGTTGAGTCCAAGTTAAGTCTTGGTTAAGTCCTGGTTGAGTCTTAATTGAGTCCTGGTTGAGTCCTAGTTAAGTCCTATTTAAATCCTGTTTAAAGTCCTGTTTAGTTTTTTTTCATTTTTGGCAATTTCAGTATAAATCAGGTACATTTGAAGCTTTCAAAGTCAAAAACGTCTAAACTGAAGTGCGCCGCCTCAATTTCAAGCGCTATGTGACATCACACAGGACTGCCCTGATTACTGCCAGGTAGGGACCCCCGATGTAAAGTATAGCAAATAATAAATTCCTTGATGGAGAAGGATTACACAACAGGAAAAAAGAATTCACTGTTAAGTTACAAGAGCTGATGGTCAAACCTCGTAGGTGTTGTTGGATGTCGTGCCACTTCCTTTGACTCCGTGCGTTGCCATAACAGCTCGTAGATTATCCCCCTCCACCAGCAGCTTGTACTTCTTTTTGCTGCTCTGCTCGTCGATGTGAATCACAGCTCTGGCAACTTCGGGGATGCCTTGGACCACCACCTACAGCCAAAACAATGAGACCAAATGTGCTCATCAGATGTGCTCATCAGAGATAAACTCATCTGAGCGTTGGCGTTTTAAAACATCTTCTGCATAACAATCAGAGCGCCTCAGATCACTCGCTTTTTATGTTCAAGACAAAATGTATTTCTGAGTAACAAACGTTCTGTAAAAATGTCTCCGTGTACTGTAGTCTTTCTGTGATTAGTGCTGCAAAGTGCGTCCTAATCAAGTTCGAGTTCTCTTAAATGTTAATGCTTCTGGAGTTGTTTCAAATGTGCACTCTGAATCCTTTTTCTTTTATTTGCCGGAAATAGAATCGCAATACTTGTCAGAAAAAAGTAGTGTTAGTGTTAAGTTCTGGTTGAGTTCTGGTTTAAACCTGGTTGAGTCCTGGTTTAAACCTGGTTGAGTCCTGGTTTAAACCTGGTTGAATTCTGGTTTAAACCTGGTTGAGTCCTGGTTTGAACCTGGTTGAGTTCTGGTTTAAACCTGGTTGAATTCTGGTTTAAGCCTGGTTGAATCTTGGTTTAAACCTGGTTGAATTCTGGTTTAAATCTGGTTGAGTCCTGGTTTGAACCTGGTTGAGTTCTGGTTTAAACCTGGTTGAATTCTGGTTTAAGCCTGGTTGAGTCTTGGTTTAAACCTGATTGAGTCCTGGTTTAAACCTGGTTGAATCCTGGTTTAAACCTGGTTGAATTCTGGTTTAAATCTGGTTGAATTCTGGTTTAAACCTGGTTGAGTCTTGGTTTAAACCTGGTTGAATTCTGGTTTAAGCCTGGTTGAGTCTTGGTTTAAACCTGATTGAGTCCTGGTTTAAACCTGGTTGAGTCCTGGTTTAAACCTGGTTGAATTCTGGTTTAAATCTGGTTGAATTCTGGTTTAAACCTGGTTGAGTCCTGGTTTGAACCTGGTTGAGTTCTGGTTTAAACCTGGTTGAATTCTGGTTTAAATCTGGATGAGTCCTGTTTAAAACTGGTTAAGTTCTGGTTTAAACCTGGTTGAGGTCTGGTTTGAACCTGGTTGAGTCCTGGTTTAAACCTGGTTGAGTTCTGGTTTAAACCTGGTTGAATTCTGGTTTAAATCTGGATGAGTCCTGTTTAAAATTGGTTAAGTTCTGGTTTAAACCTGGTGGAGTTCTGGTTTAAACCTGGTAGAATTCTGGTTTAAACATGGTTGAGTCCTGGTTTAAACCTGGTTGAGTCTTGGTTTAAACATGGTTGAGTCCTGGTTTTAACATGGTTGAGTCCTGGTTTAAACCTGGTTGAGTTCTGGTTTAAACCTGGTTGAGTCCTGGTTTTAACATGGTTGAGTTCTGGTTTAAACCTGGTTGAGTTGGTTTAAACCTGGTTGAGCTCTGGTTTAAACCTAGTTGAGTTCTGGTTTAAACTGGTTTAGTCCTGGTTTGAACCTGGTTGAGTTCTGGTTTAAACTGGTTTAGTCCTGGTTTGAACCTGGTTAAGTTCTGGTTTAAACCTGGTTGAGTTCTGGTTTAAACCTGGTTGAGTCCTGGTTTTAACATGGTTGAGTCCTGGTTTGAACCTGGTTAAGTTCTGGTTTAAACCTGGTTGAGTTCTGGTTTAAACCTGGTTGAGTCCTGGTTTGAACCTGGTTAAGTTCTGGTTTAAACCTGGTTGAGTTCTGGTTTAAACTGGTTGAGTCCTGGTTTGAACCTGGTTGAGTTCTGGTTTAAACTGGTTTAGTCCTGGTTTTGTCACAGATACTGGTCTGACCTTGGGCAGATCCTCCTTCAGACTCTGTAGGACGTAGTACATGGAGCTTTTGCTGTTTTCTCTGGGAGACACGCAGACCACAGCTTCTCCGTGCACGGCGATGTCCGCAGGCTTCACCCTCAGCTTCGACATACAGATGGAGTAACGCACAGTCTCTGCATTCACCTGCAACAACCAACAATAAAAACAAACATGAGCAATTTGTAACACGCTGTAGTTGTGTTTCCCATCGGTTTGATTACGATTATGGGGGCACAATCTCACTCAATTTTGGGGAGTATAAATGTCACTTTCTGCCTATATGTAATCATGTCTTTTTTTTTTTTTTTTTACCTATGGGGGCCAATTATAGTCTCCTGTATTAATGGGAAACACTGGTTGTAGGCTCGGCACACTGATGTCAAAAGGTCAGTCCTATGTTTAGTTTAGTTTAGTATTCTTCGGTCAATTAACATACTCATTACCGTATTTTTCGGACTATAAGGCGCAGTTAAAATCCTTTAATTTTCTAAAAAACGGCAGTGTGTCTTATAATCCAGTGTATTAATTCTGGTTGTGTTTACTGACCTCGAAACGATTTTATGTGGTACGCGGCGCTCAAAAATGGTAAATGGTGGTCACATTTTTCTATAGCGCTTTTCCACCTTCAAGGCACTCAAAGCGCTTTACAACAAGGAACCACTCACCCGTTCACACACACATTCATACACCAGTGTACACAGACACTGTGGGCAAGGTGGGTTAAGTGTCTTGCCCAAGGACACAACGGCAGCATTCATCTGTGGGAGCTGGAATCACACCAGCCACCCTGTGGGTCAGTGGATCTGACCGCTCAACCTGTGATATTTCATGTCGAGAGCTGGATTCGAACCGCCAACCTTCAGATCAGTGGGCGAATGCTCTACCAACTGAGCTACTGCCGCCCAAAATCTGTCAAAATGTTTTAGTACGACTTTGGTAAGCTACGAAGCCGCGCCGCTTGATGGATTGTCGGAGCGTTATGGCCACCATAGTCAGGAGCCTCGCAGAGTAACATAGTCCGATAAAAGTTGACCGCATCAGCGCACAAGGAGCGAGATGTTTTTTTCAACACTTTATAGTTTATGCAAATTAGCCAAGTTTTGTTTCTGTAAAACGTAAACAAATGTGCGCAAAGCTACATTAAACACATTATTACTCAATGCATTTTTGAGTCATCCTCGTAGGAAATAAAAAATCAAATTTAAATGACCCACCCACATTCATATTCATAGAACACATTCACCAAGACAGGGAGACAACGCCGGGCGAATTACGCCACGATCTGCCGATGGATCGTGGACGCCTGGACTAAAATATCAGTCTCAAGTGTCGTCCGTTTTTTTCACTTAATGCACCGTATAATCTGGTGCGAATTATGTATGAAAATAGACGAGAGAATTCAACATTACTGATATATCATTAATCATATCACAATGTGTAAGTGAGTGAAAGGCAGCCACAAAATTAAGTTTAAAATAATTGGGTAAATTAGGTTAGGGAAGTTACAAATTACTCCACAACTAATAAAAGGTGTATGATTTTTCTTTTAAATTTAAAAAGTGTTTCTTTCTTATTGATATCTATTGTGGAAGAGGCATTATATTTCAAGGGACAATATTACGGTATTTTCTTTAATAAAATTGTTTCCTGATCACAAACAGACCTGGAGTTGTGTTTTGTTTCATTCACAGATGTTTAACACACTAACACTGCACATTTAGGCTGAGTTCTTCTCTCAGACAGAAAACACTCTGTTCCACCTTGTGACGTCATGTGGTAATACAGGAAGTGCTCCACACATCTTCACTAGAATCATTTGTTTCATTTCAGCTCTGGAATTGCCAATCTCTACTGAACTAAAGTTAAAAGGACCTGTGAAAACTACTGCTTCATGACATCACAAGGTGGGACAGAGTGTTTTCTGTTTGAGACAAGAACTCAGCCTAAATATTAAAGTTTATGCGTTAAACATGTGTGAATGAAACAAAACACAACTCTTAGGTCTGTTTTTGAGGAGGTAACAACATTCTGTGGCTTTGTTCAGACTGCAAAATGTGAACCAAATCCAATTAGTTTCAAATGTGACCCAGGCCACTTGGATATGTGCTCCTAAAACCTGATACATATCCGATCTTTTGACATGTGACTTCAGTGTGAACGGCCAGGTCACATTCATTCGACTACAGACGTACACAAACGTTCTTCTCATCATATGAAAATTGTATCTGAACTCTGTGTGAGTGAAGCAGCAAAGCACATGTCAATCCCACCACTCTTGGCTGCGACTCTGCACCCGCACGTTCCTTTCTACGAACATTGCTGCCACTGCCCCACAAAACACCATGGCCAAAAAAACCTCGTCCTTCTCCTTCTCAATCTCCTCCATAAAACAAATAAGATGTACCATATTTTCCGGGCTTTAGGCGCTCTGGATTATAAGGCGCACTGTCATTAAATGGTCTATTTTCAAACTTTTTTCACAAATAAACTGCACTGGACTTTAAATGAAACACAACAGTGTGATGGGTGAGTGGTTTTGTTTGTTTGTTCGTTCACGGTGACTCTGGGCTTTGTTCAGTTGTGGCGTGTAGGGAGGTGCTGTCTGGGACCAACGGATTGTCGGCGTGTTCGCAGTGACTCAGTTGTTCAGTTGCGTCCAGAAGTGGCACATTGCGCTCGCTTTTTCGGTTCGTTCCTCCGTTCCGTTCCTCGTCGGCGTGGAGTGATGAGTGTGTCTGTGGGTGTTTTTCGCTGTGCGGTCTCTGTCTGCTCCGTGTGTGTTTGCGTGTTCTGCGGGTGGTGCGGCTTTGCAGTTTACTGAAGTCGTGCTGGGACACCCGAGTGGATTCGTGTATCGGGCGCGCAGTCGTTTTTTGATGGGGTCAGCAGCTTAAGAGCGCGACCAATAGCCCGGAAAATACGGTACATGTTCTGGCTCCGGTACGACAGCAACTTTAAAATCTCCAGGTGCTCAATGTTCACGTCCATGTTTAGGCGACTTCTGTAAACACTGAGCATGCGCACCGTGTATGACGTCGTCGTGTCCTCCAATGCTCATGCGGGACACTTTTGGGGCATTTAAAGTTCACAATGAAGATCACAAACAAGTCGCGTTTAATTGGAAATGTGAACGATCTCTCAAAAAAAATCGGATTTCACAAAACTATCCGAATTGAGCGTTAAGCCCTGCAGTCTGAACGTAGCCGAACAAAACTCAAGAGTAAACTTTGAGGAATATAGGACCTTGAAATACTGAAGAAAATATCTACCATATAAAGCCTTTCACATTTCAGAACCTCTTGTACAGACCTCAGTGTTAATGTTGACATTTACAGCAGTTAATAGCCTTATACAAGACACAGAGTGCGGACCTGAAAATGGCAGCTATTGCAGCATAAATGGACGTGAAAACACATTGTACACAGCAATAAATTACAGGTTTATTATTTTCTATTCAACACAAGAATAAAGAAAAGTACCTCTAGTCGTAACAGTCTGATCCTCTCCAAAGAAAGTTTCACCAAAATAAAGCAATCGTCAGGCAGAAAAACCTCCTCAATGTACTCTGAAATCTAAACAAAACAAGAAGCAGAGTTTTATTTTGAAAAGTAGAAAGTACTTGAAAGTGTGAAAAAGTGTTGAGTTTGGATACCTCTCCAAGAAGAGTTTTCTCGATCCTTCCTTTCACCAATCGGGCGAAGTCGGCGTCGTCGTCAGTGTCGAGGTGAGCTGTGATGATCGGTGTACTGTAAAAATAAAAATAAACAATATTTTAGTAATAGTCAAAGTTTAAGTGTGTATTTTATTTTTTATTTATATAATTTTTTGCAGTTTTTGGTAATAATCAAAGTATGATTAAGTGAATTATCAAAACAAAACATATAAATAATCAGCATAATTACACATTTTATTATTATTTTGACCCAATTTGTAAATAAATCATAAAAATTAAGTTTATCTAAATACATTTTTAACCTTAAAGTGATAGTACGCAACTTTCTAGGGTGTATGCTTCCATGGAAACAGAAAGTTAAAACCATACTTTGAAATATTCTAGATGTAGATAGATGTGTTTTATGTCATACAGTGGAATATTAGAACCAAAGGAACGACATTTCCATGGCAACAAACAGGAGGCCAAGTATAAGTCAGGTCTGTGGAGATGCAAGCACACATCCATAATAAAAAATATGCTTTTATTTTAGTCTATTTCGTTTAAAAAAATAAATAAATAAAAGTTACATACAGGGGCTTTAATGCTTTTTAAAATTTTAACCCTCGTTAACTCAAACCCTAAATTGTTAATACTACTACTAACTACTAATTATTAACTACTACTACAACAGCTACTACAACTACAAACACAACTAACACTACTACTACTTCTAATTAACACCTAAGTACTAACTACTACTGCTACTTATTACTACCTACTACTAACTACAACTACTACTTCTTATTACTACTTCTACTACTTCTTCTTCTTCTAACTATTACTACTACTTCTAACTACTACCACTACAACTACCTACTACTAACTACTACTACAACAACTTCTAACTACTTCTATTACTACTTAAAACTACTAAATACTACTGCTACTATTACTACTACTACATACTACTAACTACTAGTACTACTACAAATTCTAACTACTACTAACTTTTACAACTACTTCTAACTACTAACTACTACTACCTAATAGCACTACTCCTACTACAACTACCTACTACTAACTAACTACTAGTACTACTACAACTTCTAACTACTTTTAACTACTACAACTTCTAACTACTTTTAACTACTAAATACTATTTACTACTGCTACTACTGTTACTACTACTACTACCACTAACTAACTAACTACTCCTACAACTTCTAACTACATCTATCTTCTACTACTATTACTACTACTTCTAACTACTATACTACTTACTACTGCTACTAACTCACTAACTAAATAACTACCTACCTACTACTACTACTACTACTACTACTACTACTACTACAACTACTACTAACTACTAAATACTACTTACTACTGCTACTAACTCACTAACTAAATAACTAACTACCTACTACTACTACAACTACTACTACTACTACTACTACTACTAAAACTACTACAACTACTACTTCTAACTACTAAATACTACTTACTACTGCTACTAACTCACTAACTAAATAACTAACTACTACTACTACTACTACTACTACTACTACTACTACTACTACTACTACAACTACTACTACTACTACTACACTACTACTACTACTACTACTACTACTACTACTACTACTAACTACTACTACTACTACTACTACTACTACTACTACTACTACTACTACTACTACTACTACTACTACAACAACTACTACTTCTAACTACTAAATACTACTGCTACTAACTCACTAACTAAATAACTACCTACTACTACTACTACTACTACTACTACTACTACTACTACTACTAAATACTACTTACTACTGCTACTACTACAACATCTAACTACTTATTACTACTACTACTACTACAACATGACAATAAAAACTCAAAAGAAGTGTAAAGTTGTGGCCTTGAGCCTTCAGAGCCCATTACCTCTTATCATTAGGTCTGTTGTGTTCATGAATATATTACATTTCATTTGGGCTGCAGTTTATCTGGGCTCATTTGGGGAAATGAATCATTGTGATGTATGGTTTAGAGACGGCTGCTTTTCTGGGACTTATGTGAATGCGAGAAACAAAGCAACTTTCCATTAGCAATCTCCAGGCAGAGTCCTTAAAGGCGCACTGTGTAACTTTTCCGGTGGAGGGTCCGTCTAACGCTTTTGTCCGCGAAAATGTTATTGCTTTGTTTGGAATGTTTCACAGTATGGCTTTAAACCTTTCTATCTTCATGGAGACCAAACCAGACCAAGTTACAAGTCAGATCTGTGGAGAGGCGACGCCGCTCACAGTCAGAACGCCTGTTTTACTCGGTATTTTTGAGCTTTAAAACGCCCTGTAATAGGAGAGTTTCATTGTTGACAAAAGACATTTTCCTTCTTCCGTGCTTCTATTTGTGCATCCGATAATGCAGCAGGAATTTATCATTATCGGGGATAAATACGCGAGGTTACGCACTGTGTTTGACGCTATCGTGTTTCTTGCCTCCGACCAAAATATTTCCCAGCATGCAACGCGGGCTTTTAATAACAATGACGTCAGCTGAAACTCACCTATTAAATACATGTAAAGTAAAGCTGTTTAATGTCACACTGTGGAACATTCCAAGACAGGGAGACAGCGCCGAGCGACTTACGCCACGATCTGCCAACGGATCGTGGACGCCCGGGCTAAGGATCAGTATCAACTGTGGTCTGAGCTTTCACCAAGACCAGAATCATCACTGAACTGCCAGGGAACAGTAACCACACTGACTCGGATAATGACGAGAGGGATGTGGACGTGCTGGACGCCGTAATCACCCAACTGTTTGAACAATTATGAGTTATTGTGAATACAAGAACTATTCAGCGTCTCAGACAGTATTTTTTTACGCGTTACAATTGAACAAAGTTGAGAGTTATTGTGAACGCGTTAAATAAAGTTTGACTGACTCTAACTGTTGTGTTTCGTTTAAAGCGCCTTATAGTCCGGTGCGGTTTATATTAGGGGTGTCAACTTATTGCTTTAATTGTGATTAATTAATTACAATCATATTTAGTGCGTTATGTTTTTTAATCGCGTTAATCTTATTTTTAATCTCTAACTTTACTGTTTTTGTTTGCGAGTTTCCTTATTATAAAATCTGTTTTTATGTGTTGTTAAGACACAGTCCCGCACTGTGCAGTCCTGCTCCGCTCGCTCCCGCAAAGAACTGTAGCCTAATTTTCAATCCCGTTCTCGCCGCATCTGCGATAAACCTGCACACGTCTGATCTCTGAAAACATCACGACACAGACACAGAACAGACTCACCTTCACCATCAACATCCATCTGTCACAGAAAGAACATCTATATTCCACTGAGTCATGGCCTTTAGTCCGACAGAAGATGAACCACATCAGCGCACAAGAGCGTTTTATTTATTTATTTTTTTCTCTGCTTAGTTTATGCAAATGAGCCATGCGGTTTTTAGTTTTGTTTCTGTGAGACTTGCTCAAAGCTGCATTAAACACATTATAATGTCAAACGGGCTGATGTGGCTCTAGAGTGGTGATGTTTATATGTTGTAAAGTTGAGTTTATTTATGCAGATTAGTAATAGTAATAATGATGATACTTATATAAAAACGTTAATGAAATGAAAATAATGTAATAATGAATTCGAATGAAAATACCTCAAGTTGAAGCTTTTCTCAGCAATTTTTAGGTGAGATTAAAAAAGAGATGAATTAGATGAATTAATTGCAGATCATAATTAATCTCTCAATGTTTTTAATCGCTTGACAGCACTAGTTTATATGTGAAAAAAGTTCGAAAAAAGACCATCCAATGACAGTGCCTTAAAGTGCGGAAAATACGGTAAATGAAATATAAATTAAAATAAAACATCAAAACAATTTTGTCAACATAAAGTTCTGTTGGGTGAGTGACCATTAATGTTATAACTTTTTTACAGCCTCTATACCCTGTATCATATTTTGATGAACTTTTGCTAGTAATGAAAGGAATTGACCTTCAGTTGGTCATATTTTTGAAAAAAAGTCCCCCTGGAGTCAAAATGAAGTTTTGGTAAAGCCGACCAACAACCAGAATAAAACCGTTAGAAGGTTAATATCTGTTCAATCATAAAAGAACCAAAGGCAATTTTCTCTTTAATAACACAGGAACAAAACACATAATCAGGGTAAAGATAATATAAAATAGGCCACTAATAGTAAAAAAAATTATGATTGTCAGTGTTGGTTAGCAACAATGAATCGAAGTGGAACATTGCTCTTGTCTTTACATGCGGCATGAATTTCCTGCATCACTTTGATTGTTCGTTCACAGCATTGATTAATGCGTGGGATATCAATTCTTGATGGCTCTTGCTTCCAATGTCTTTTGAGACACCCCAGTGCTGATTGGTCGGGCGCTAAAGCCTCCTCTAACTCAGCAAAGTCGGCTACACGGAACTTCTGGTCTGAGAACCATCGGTCGGCCCGAATGCAGTGCGAATGAAGAGACAAACTCGCTTCAGCCTACGTCTTGCATCTGGCATGAGTATGAAGGCCAGAATTGCAAGGATGGCTCTTGAATTCCAGCGAGCATTGCTGATGTTAGTCATTTTTTTTAAACTCCACCAACTTATTATTGATCCATTTTCAGTCAAATTGCCTTGTAATGGCCCTTGTGATAACTTAGCACCGTTTTGAATTTCATGTCATTGGCTGTAATGTGTATTAATATTTTTTGTTTCAGGAGGACTTTTTTAAAAGAGTGTTGAAAATGCAGTTTGGTTTCTTCAATTATACCAAAACGTTCATCCAATCATGATGCAGGACTTGGATTTTGGAAAAAAAGTTCAAAAAGTTATAACCCCAGTGCCCATCCCACGTGTCCGAGTCCATGGAGACGGGATATTTAGTTTTCAGTCGAGGGGATTAGATGTTCTCAGCCTGAAACCAGACAAACACGGGGGGAAAGGAATTCTGGGTGACAAATAAATAAAACTGAGTCACATCTTTTATAAATAGAATAAAAAGTAGGGTTGTCAAGAGTATTGAAAATCAGACGCTAAAACAAGTATCGACACTTGATACTAGATCAGGGGTCTG